GGGGGGCACAGCCAAAACTCAATCTTCATCATCGATGGCATGTCTTTTTGCTGTGACAAACCCCATTTGAGTACTGGGATTGGTGGGTTTCATTGCTGCAAATTGAGTTAGCAGAAGCAAGCAGAGAGACATTAAATTGGTTGCGCATCATTTTAGATTGTCAATTACAAATACAATATTCTAACATCCCATTAATTACTTTGGAATTTAAAAACTAGATTATGAGAATAATTACTATTTCATTAGTTATCATGTCTTTAAAGATTATCTTTTGGACTCAATTTGGTCTTGCTTTACACATGAGATTATCAATTCACCTTACCCTACTTACGTAATTTCATAATCTAGTCTCTTAAAATTTCATCCTATCTATGTATTTATTATATTCTATTAATTAACTTTATTCCCCCATTCCTATTGAAAATTAACACATGTTCAAAACAAATAGAAATAAATAAAAATATTCAGATATGATACATAAAAAAAATATTCAAAAATTATTTATTTATTATATTAATTAAACAATCAGAGGTCCATGCTCTTGTCCGCAACTCAAACAAAAGTACAGGATTTTTTTTTTAATGTATCTGTTTAGTTCAATATCCAGAGAGTATTATTAACTTTGTTCTTTTTCCGCCGTGTTTCATTAGATTCAGGTGAAAAATTACAACTTCTATACCTTACTTCAACCTTCTGGTGGTTTATTATGGAACATCAGAGAAGAACAAAGTTTCGATATATAAGAAGCACATCCATCGTCCCAAATACTATCTAAACTTCTTTTAAAAAATGCACCATCTATGATAAAGAAATGAAAAAGTAAAAGCAAGCTTGATTATCATTTTGAAAAGAGTTAGAGAGAAGTCTCACACAGATAGAACAAGATAATATTGAAGAGACGGAAGAGTAAGAGAGTGAACTTGCAAACTAATGGAATTGTAATTCACAATCAACATGATACAACCAATTTTAATGCTTCTCCACCTTCTTTTGCGAACCCAATTTTCACTTGAACAATCAATTGTAACACTTGATGAAACTTTTGATGTATGAATGATACAGGTTTAGCAACCAAAAAATCAAAGGTAGCCAGAAAACCAAGTAAATCAAGCCCAGATTGCAAGGCCAGACATAAGGCCAGCTCCAAGGAACAGCATCAAGTAAGATACTACCTGGAGTCTGAAGTTGCAGCTCATTCTCTTACTAAGAAAATCCGCAGCAATGAGATCCACCAAAGCCATATAAACCAAAATCCCAGCAGAAAGAGAGTCCAAGATGCCCTCAACCACCAGTGCACCGGCACTATGAGGATTGTAGGAAGATGAGATGGCAGTTCCAATCCCAATACCCAATGGGGTAGTGACAGCAAAAAAACATGCCATCAGTGACGCAGATTGAGTGTTGAACTGGGCTTGAGAAATACAGCCTCCAAGGGCAAATCCTTCAAAAAACTGATGGAAGGATAATGCTGCAATTAAAGGTCTTATGGTGCATGGACTTTGTGAAACGCCTAAAGATAGTCCGATTATAATAGAGTGCGAAACAATTCCAAGCTCCAAAATCTGTTAAAAGAAACAGAAAACATATTTAACTGGCAAGCCATAGACAAAAACACATACAGACAAATGATTTAGTGCCAATTTATGTGCAAGAGAAGATTTACCATTATGAAAGTATTTGGCAAAAACAGGATATCTTTACAACTTTCAATAATAAACTGCTAAGGGAAAAATACTTTTAGTTATACTTAATTGAGGGTATCTGAAAAATATTAACTTACCATTGATTTGCATTTTTAGTACTAATTTATTGGCTTCAATAATTTCAACCCACCAAAGTGGCTGAGCTGCTTTCTTCCCAAATCTCTATTTTACATTGGATGTTTAGAAGAATGGAGTTTCCTGCTTGAAAGATTGATTACGGACATTATACATTGTCAATTACTTAGTTTTAAAACTACCTCAGTGCTTTAAACTACTACAGCAAAAGAAAAATAAAGTTCTGTTGTAGCTGGAGGTCATGGTGTTCACTAGGAAGAGAAAAAGATGGTAGATTGGCGCAATGGCATGTGACTCTTTGACTGGAAAAAGTCAAGAGATTGATTTGTAATTGGATTAAGGTGGGTAGTTGGGTTTGCGAGAAATCGACAATGGAGGAGGTTTAAGCGTGAGGATGAAAGCAGGGAAGATGTTGATCACAGTGAATTGAGATTGTCACTTTCTTTATGAGAAGGCATAAAGTCTACGCTAATAACCATATTGGTTAGATCTTATTAATTAGTAAACCAGTAACGATGGTCATATATAGAAACTATATATAAATTACATATAAACTATTTCCCCAATAAAAATTATCAATGAAGAATTTTATTAGACAAAAGTTTTTAGAGTCCCTAAAGTCTAAAAGATTGAAGATTTTCTCCGACGAGCTCACCAGAGCCATCACGTCAATATGATATGAACA